AAAGACACTAACATACATCTTTTAAGGAGACCATGAACTATATCTCTTAAATGTTAAAGATAAACACTTTATTTGTACAAATATTACTTATATTTAATTATTTTTGGCATCTTCATTTATTGCTTTTTTCCTCTTCAAACTTAGGTCCACCACTTTCTGGGAAGAGTTTCATTTAATAATAGTGCCGGGGAAGAAGTTTCCTTTGACCAAAATGGGAAATTAATAGCTGGATTTGATATAGTAAATTGGGTCATATTCCCAAATCAGTCATTTCTGAGAGCCAAAGTTGGAACAATGGACCCACAAGCTCCCCCAGAAAAGAGGTTAACAATTCATGATGATGGTATCATGTGGCCCAACTGGTTCAACCAGGTACGAAGTTGTTCTGGATTTTCTCTAGTTTTTTGCTCAGTCCAAAATCTGCCTCACTGCAACACATTGAATCACCATCAATTATCAGACTAGATATATTAGAGAAAACACCTGTCTGTTCGAAAGAAAGCTATTGTGTTTCCAAGTCTCTTTGCAGAGGTATCTGAGCTGCAGAGTGTCACTAGTCCATTAAATTCAAAGTAGCCCAGTATGTCTTTTAATTAGAATATCCTTCCTTCCTTCCTCCTTTCTTTTTTCTTTCCTTCCTAGTATTTTGCATGAGCGCACACCACCAATCCATTCTGGAGTTATTTGGCCCCAAATCAAGTGGGGATAAGGCAATGTTTGATTAGGGTTCTTAAAACTCCAATTGAACATACTGTCAGAAATGCTCTCCACCTTTCTTTAGACCATACGTCAGACCCCTGCAGTCAGGATTGGACCATTTACTCAGAAGTTGGTGAGCAGAGGGCTCAATCCTGCTCAATTTGATGGCACCCCAGGTCCAGGAGTGGCAGCAAGATTGTGCGCAACCTCGCTGCTGCTCCCGGAGCTTGCGGGGCTGGGTGCTGGGGGCGGGGAAGCCCGAGCTTCCCCCGAGCCCAGCCTCCAGAACAGGCAGCTATCCGCAAGCCTGCCGAGCGCAGCAGGAACTCCCGCTGTGCTCCGAAGGCTTGCGGATGGCTGCCTGAAGCCTGCATTCACTCCATAGGATGCGCACACATTTCCCCTTCATTTTTGGAGGGGGAAAAGTGCGTCCTATAGAGCGAAAAATACGGTAAATTGTAGGGCACATGCAGGTGATGAAGAAGGTAACTCTAGAAACAAACAGCACTGAAAGATTGCATCAAGAGCCAATGTTTATGTCAAAAATGCTTGAACAATTTCTATAATGAGATATTGACCCAATAAGCTTTCACCTGAACATTTTCTATTTTGATAGAGATTAGCACTGCCATGCTAATATCAGTAGAAATTTAAATACTTACTAATATGGCTTTCATAAAGGGAAATGTACTGGAGTTCCAATGCTATAATTAGTGCTGGATTAAAGGTCATCTTTAGAAAAAAGCACAAACCTCTAGCAAGCTATTGCTTTACTGTCATTTTTATTATTTGACGATAGGTCAGTGAGATGCAAACTCCTAAACAATTTCCTTCTTTCATTTATGAACAGGCACAACCCACTTCTCTGTGTAATGAGAATTGTCATGTAGGTTATAGAAAGAACAAGAAGGAAGGAAAGCCATTCTGCTGCTATGATTGCCTTCCGTGTCCAGAAGGGAAGATCTCAAACAAGGAGGGTAAGGAATCCATCACACACTTTAATTTTACTTGTGCATCAGTAGCTCCTTTCTCTAGTGGGAAAACAGTATGGAAGTAGCAAATATACATTCTGGCATCTCTTAGATGCACTGTGCCAATTTGGGGAAAGAAGACCTTTTTAAAAAATAAGATTTGTTTCTTCCTTTTTCATTTTCAGACATGAATGACTGTTTAGAATGCCCTGGAGATCAATATGCAAACAATGAACAGGATGGCTGCCTCCCGAAAGACAAAACATTCTTGTCTTATGGAGAACCTTTGGGGATCAGTTTGGCCACGTTTGCCCTCTTCTTTTCCTTCATCACAGCTTTGGCGCTTCAAATATTCACAAAGCACAGAGATACTCCCATAGTTAAAGCCAACAACCGCAACCTCACTTATATTCTCCTCCTTTTCCTCCTGCTCTCCTTCCTTTGTGCTCTGCTCTTCATTGGCCAGCCTGAGGAAGTGACCTGCCTCCTTCGACAAACTGCTTTTGGCATGATCTTCTCAGTGGCAGTTTCTTGCATATTGGCCAAAACTGCCATTGTGGTTCTAGCTTTCATGGCCACCAAGCCAGGGTCCCGAATGAGGAAGTGGGTAGGGAAGCCACTGGGCACCCCAATTGTTCTTTCCTGCTCCCTTATTCAAGCCACAATCTGTAGCATATGGCTGGCAACTTCTCCTCCTTTCCCAGATGTTGACATGCACTCAATGATTGAAGAAATAATACTAGAATGTAATGAAGGTTCCACTATCATGTTTTATTGTGTCCTGGGATTCATGGGTTTGCTGGCCATTGTGAGCTTCACGGTGGCTTTCCTAGCTAGAAAGTTGCCTGACAGTTTCAATGAAGCCAAATTCATCACCTTCAGCATGTTGGTCTTTTGCAGTGTGTGGTTGTCCTTTGTTCCAACCTACTTGAGCACCAAGGGCAAATACATGGTGGCTGTGGAGATCTTCTCCATCTTGGCCTCCAGTTGTGGGTTACTGGGCTGCATCTTTACCCCCAAATGCTATGTTATTTTACTGAGGCCTGAGCTGAACAGCAGGGAGCAGCTAATAAGAAGACAGTTTTAAATAATCCAGAAGTCTGAATCATGCTCGTAATTCTGGATGTCTGTTCTTGCTATTTTATTTACATGTATATCATTAGAAACTAGGAATACCCTTGTCCCTAGAAATTAAAGAATCAACAAAAAAAGAATTAACAGGTAAACAATAGTAAACAATAAAAAGATCTGGAGAAACCCCAAAGAGCTCCTTTAGGAGAAATTATGAGGACACAATCAGGGCAGTAGTGAATTGCTTGATTATTTCCATTACTGCCACTGACGGGGATCAGTACAGTGATGCCTCTGGTTACGTACTTAATTCGTTCCGGAGGTCTGTTCTTAACCTGAAACTGTTCTTAACCTGAAGCACCACTTTAGCTAATGGGGCCTCCCACTGCTGTCGTGCCGCCAGAGCACGATTTCTGTTCTCATCCTGAAGCAAAGTTCTTAACCCAAGGTACTATTTCTGGGATAGCAGAGTCTGTAACCTGAACCGTATGTAACCTGAAGGATATGTAACCCGAGGTACCACTGTACTGATTCTGCGGCAATGCCTTTGAGCACAACTGGCCTGGAACATTACTCTGTTTGCAGCAAAATGGGCAGCAAGACAGGGCATGCTCCTCCCTTGTGATTTGTCCCTTCTCCTATTTCTTTTTCATGCCCCTTTTAAATCTCAGCTCATTGGAAAGTGCCTTATGCAGCCACCCTGGTTTTCTTTTGATGCAGCCCCTTTCCTTTTTTTTTGTTTGAATTGTTTGCACTTGTGTTTTCAACATCTCACCTTTAACAAACCCTCATCAACCTCTCTCTCTCTCTCTCTCTCTCTCTCTCTCTCTCTCTCTCTCAGTTTTCTGGCCAAGTAATCTTATACAGTGGTTCCTTCAGCTTTTTGAAATCAGCTATCTTAAATTCCAGAGTGTGTGTGTCTGACTATGCTCAGATTTTCCTTTCTTTTGTATAATGAATCTCCAGAGGATGTGGTCTCTTCCTCCCAGAGTTCTCACTACTCTCACCTCAGTGACCAGTTCTTCCTTACTGATGAGGAGCAGGCCTGAGATAGTCAATCCCCTTGTTGCTTTTTTCACCTTCTGGGAAATGAAGTTGTCAGCAAGGCAGCTGAGGAAATTGTTGGCTTTACATTTTTGGCAGTTTTATTTCCAACAGATAACAGAATAGCTGAAGTCTCCCATGACTATTATATCTCTACTTTTTAATGTTTGTCTACTCTAGGAATGGTAATCTGTTCTAGAAAGGCAATCAATCAATCAATCAATCAATCAATCAATCTTTATTATGGTTAAAGACTAGACAACAGAAATAACAATAATGGTGTCAGGGACACTTTTGCTCTGAGAGACAGCGAAGAATCAGAAGAGGAAGAGGGGCAAGCTGAGGGGAGTAGAAACTTGAGTCCTTCGCACAATCAGGAAGAGATAATCTACCCTCACTCTGGAATGCTGCCTGTGGAATCTGAAAACAATACACAGCAAGCTGGAGGTGAGTGAGAGGGGTTTGACTCCACTCCAGATGAGGAGGGGTTAACAGAACCAGAATCCCCTAAAACCAGAACGAAGAGTTGGGTGTTAGAACAGTGCAAGACCGGAAAGAGGTGGAATAGGAGATGGGATATTTCTTGCCTTGGCAGGAAACGGAAGCCAGTCGCAGCAGCTGACTCCAACAGTGATTGATGTGTTAAGGATTTGTGAGCAAAGAGACAATGGGGAGGCTCCCCATTTCCTTCGACCTTGCAGAGAAATATTTGAGGTCATTTGGGAGAGACAAAATGGTTTCAGGACTTTTTTCTGTGGAGTTTCAGACATGTGCTTTATACATTTATGTATGTCAGCGGTTCTCAACCTGTGGGTCCCCAGGAATGGCTGCATTTGGTGAAGCAGACAAAGCTGCTTTATTGATCCTCATCCAGTCCCCAACTGCATCAAGACACTGAAGAGCTCAGTTGGCTAGACCGTGGGGCTGATAATGCAAAGTCTGCAGGTTCAAGCCCCATAAGTAACGGCTGCACATTCCCACATTGCAGGGGGTTCAACTAGGTAATCCTCAGGGGCCCTTCCAACTCTATGATTCTACCACCGGGGATGAAAAAGTTATGGTGTCCACCCCCCAGGCTATGAACTCACCGGTTGCCCTTATGTGCCCTGTAAGTTAGTGAGCATGCAGATCAGAAGAGGCAATGGGGCATCAGACACACAGAGTAAGGATACAAATATTGGTGTGCATTGCAAATAAATGCATTGAACGGAAAACTGGCTATGATTGGATCCTTCCATTCTTTATTTCTGTAGTCATCTACATTTGAGCTTGCAGAATAAGGTCTTTTCAAGGTGGTTTTTGAGGGCTGATACCAGAGAGTCCCAAAACGTAGGTGGCAGAGTGCGGATTGTGCATTAAAACAGCGGGGTGGGTGATCTCTTGGTTTTGTTTTTGTGTAGTGATCATGGGATCCAGTTACGTTCATCTTAAGGTGTCTTTTTAGAGCCAAGTATCCTTAGGCACCTTCTTACAAACATAGTTTATTGGTAGATCACATTTTACTGCCATCCAGCATTTGTTGTAGTAGCAATCAAAGGACATTGCAATACAGTCGTGGTTCGGTTCTCTATTTGGCTCATAGTAATTCCAGTAGCTGAAAAGAAAAGAAACAGCAGCACTGATCGATCAAGATTGGATGTCTACTTCCTCACTCCCTCCCCATGCCTTCTACTATTACTTGGAAACGTATCTTTTAAGAAGCATATCTTCTGGGATTAATAACAAATGACATCCCCATAAATAAGAAAAGGATATTCTTCTATGCATCCGCTGCCGCAAGAGTTAGAATCATAGAATCATAGAATCATAGAATCCTAGAGTTGGAAGAGACCACAAGGGCCATCGAGTCCAACCCCCTGCCAAGCAGGAAACACCATCAGAGCACTCCTGACATATGGTTGTCAAGCCTCTGCTTAAAGACCTCCAAAGAAGGAGACTCCACCACACTCCTTGGCAGCAAATTCCACTGTCGAACAGCTCTTACTGTCAGGAAGTTCTTATAACAAAGAACTGGAAGGGAGACAAAATACCCACAATAATAGAAAGGCAAATCAAACTTATTGAATTTGTTGAATTGGCCAAAATGACGGCAGCTATCAGAGGTCAAACAAATCAAAATTTAATAAAAGAATGGAGTTTCATGAAAGAATATACGAAAAAACACTGCTCTGGTACAGAAATATTGATATGTAAAGAACAAAGTTTGTAAAGGGGAAAGGTTACAAATGCAAGTAAAATCAGAATATTTGTCAAATACAATATAACAACACAACTGTAAAGATAAGTTATAGAATTAAGGTCAAGCAACGATGGAAGGAAGTCAGATTTTAACTCACATTTCGAGTTATGTCGAACCAATGGTGGTGGGTGAGGTGGGGGGATGCTTTGTGTTACTAACATGTACATATGTGTAAACCTTTCTTTCTGTTATTTTGTAGAGATAAAAACTTCAATAAAATTAATAATAATAACAATAATAAACTGTAGAAATATTTTCCGAAAGAGAGTGTTGCTCAGCTTTAGGTTCCTACATGTCCCTTTGAAGCTGAGCTAAGCAGCACAAACCATTTAAAAGCATGTTTTCACCCTCTTCTGAATCAGCACATTCACTTGTCTAGAGAAGCAGGAAGAGTGGCCTTCCTGCCTCTGCAACCTAGGGAGAAGAAGCAGTCACTCACCTGGATAATGATGTGGAGGAGTACATATGTAGATCTTTGGTAGTAGAGAAAAGTGCATGGCAAAATATATTTGGAGTGCAAATGGATCAATTATGTAATCAGAATCTGAAACTTTTTGGAACGTATGTCATTAACAAATATTTCTTCAAAAACTTACGTTTCTGAAGCTATCTTCCCTGACAGCCATTTCCATGTCCCTCCCTTGTCTTTAAAGACTCCAATCCAATAAACCTTTTTAAGATTTTGTACTTCAGTGCTCACAAAAAGCTAGGGAAGGGGTGGAGAAAGAACAAATAAAATATTTTAAGACAATGACCCTTTCTCTGGGAGACTACAGCCCTTTACAGAAATTCAACAGGCATAAAACAAACACATTTTAAAAGGAACAGGTGTCACCTTTGAAGACCCTACCCACATTTTTTTTGGAAGCAGTGATCAAAACTATACATAGTATTCCCATCACCAATAATAATTTCATACAGTGGATGTGGTATTGTCCCCCTGATCAACATTATGATGATAATGAATGATGATGATGGAATCAAGGAAGCATTCCAAAGAGGAAATATTGTAGTGAAGGGTAACTTCACCTGCCCTCACCAAGACTGGCTACATATGTATTCCAGTCATGACACAGAGTTAAAATTTCCAAATACTGTTAATGACTGTGCCATAGAACAGTTGGTCTTGGAGCCATCTAGTGGGACAGTGACCTGTGTGGCAAATACTCCAGTTTCTGCATCCATGTTTGTTGGTTGGTTCCAGAGACACTGGAATCAGTCTGGTTGTGGTATGCTTAATGGCATGATGATGGGGTCTCACCCATGTCTATGCCCTGTAGCACCCCAGTAGCCCTTCTGCCAGGGCTAAGGCTCTGGGAGAGGGATCTAGAAGAAGAAGAAGAGTTTGGATTTGATATCCCGCCTTTCACTCCCTTTAAGGAGTCTCAAAGCGGCTAACATTCTCCTTTCCCTTCCTCCCCCACAACAAAGACTCTGTGAGGTGAGTGGGGCTCATAGAATCATAGAATCATAGAATCATAGAATCATAGAGTTGGAAGAGACCACAAGGGCCATCGAGTCCAACCCCCTGCCAAGCAGGAAACACTATCAGAGCACTCCTGACATATGGTTGTCAAGCCTCTGCTTAAAGACCTCCAAAGAAGGAGACTCCACCACACTCCTTGGCAGCAAATTCCACTGTTGAACAGCTCTTACTGTCAGGAAGTTCTTCCTAATGTTTAGGTGGAATCTTCTTTCTTGTAGTTTGGATCCATTGCTCCATGTCCGCTTCTCTGGAGCAGCAGAAAACAACCTTTCTCCCTCCTCTATGTGACATCCTTTTGAGAGAGACTTCAAAGAAGTGTGACTGGCCCAAGGTCACCCAGCAGCTGCAGGTGGAGGAGCGGAGATGTGAACCCAGTTCCCCAGATTACGAGACTACCGCTCTTAACCACTACACCACACTGGCTCTCTTAACCACTACACCACACTGGATCTACCCTGCAAGCTCCTCTGGAGTCATCTCCATGATACTGTCATGCCAGAGGGTTAGGGTGGTGAGCAAAGCCTTCTTTCTAAGCACTCAGTACATCTCACAGAGTAGAGGAAGAATTTACCGGCAAGCCAAGGGATAGATGCCCCTCAAGTATCTCCTCCTTCACTCCCTTCAAAACCTCCTTCCTGAATGCCAGCTTCATTCTATTAGAGCTCAGCAGCTCCAAGAAACCTTAGTTAGTCCCAGATGGTAGCAGCTGCTCCCTGCCTCACCCACCCCTTGGCTTGACTGATGGAGTTGCTGTCTTGGCTGCATACAGGTAAATGTAACCTTCTTAAATGGATAGTGATGATAGGAGCCCATTAGCTCAAGAAGATCCCCTACCTTTCCTATACTCAGCTTTGATGCTCACCTGTTCTTCCACTGATTCCGCAGAAAGGAGGTTGGCGCCTTCCAGCTCACAATTTTTCTGGGCATCCATCCATGAGGCTACCTCACTAGAAAACCAATATAAGGTCCTTTCATATATAACCCAGCCATCGTTCAAGTTTTCAATAAGGATATCTTTGAGTCAAGCCATGTATGGAGGAAGTAGAGAGAGAAAAATAGGGAATTTAATGGGAACCACCTTGTATGTCTGTGCAGATTTCAATTATTTTTGTTAAGTTCATTTCTGTGGCCATGTGATAACATATATTCATCTAGGAAGCTCAGGAAGATTAAAACAAGAACAACATTAACTCTTCAGCCCATGCTGATGCTGCAGTAAATACCTGGGTGGGCATAGCTGGGAGTGCAGTCAAGAACCTTTTATTTGAGGGAATAGACAAAAGATGTATGTCCCCTAACAGGCCTTATCTGAACCTCAGGGGCCTCACCTATTTGTTTCCACCTGGATACTCAGGACAACATCAGGGCAGACTTGAAGATTGGGGAGGGGAAGTAGCTGTGGCTTATCAAAATTCTCTTTCTCTCTCTAGGCTCTCTGTGGAGGCGGGGAGGGGAACCCTAGATTGAAGGTAAAAGGTAAAGGTAAAGGTACCCCTGCCTGTACGGGCCAGTCTTGACAGACTCTAGGGTTGTGCGCTCATCTCACTCTAGAGGCCGGGAGCCAGCGCTGTCTGCAGACACTTCCGGGTCACGTGGCCAGCGTGACAAGCTGCATCTGGCGAGCCAGCGCAGCACACGGAACGCCGTTTACCTTCCTGCTGGTAAGCGGTCCCTATTCATCTACTTGCACCCGGGGGTGCTTTCGAACTGCTAGGTTGGCAGGCGCTGGGACCGAGTGACGGGAGCGCACCCCGCCGCGGGGATTCGAACCGCCGACCTTTCGATCGGCAAGTCCTAGGCGCTGAGGCTTTAACCCACAGCGCCACCCGCGTCCCAGATCCAGATTGAAGGAGGCAGTGGTAAAACCACTCCTTAAGAAATCTTCCCTGGGCTCAGAAAATTTACGTAACTGACTGTCAGTTGCTAATCTCCCCTTCCTGGTCAAGGTTCTTGAGCGGGTGGTTGCGGACCAGATCCAGGTGCTCTTGGAGGAAACTGATTTTCTAGATCCATTTCAATCAGAATTTTCTGGATCCTTTTCAGTTTAGGCCTGGTTTTGGCATATGTCTTTAAAGGCAATGATATTTCCCAAAGACAAAGTGAAAGAGGGGAAATGGCATTATACAACTCTCACAAAATGTGTGTTTTGCTGCTGACCATCTTTAGCTTGCTTCTATGTACAAGATCACTGCAGATGGTGACAGCAGTCACGAAATTAAAAGATGCCTGCTCCCTGGGAGAAAGGCGATGGCAAACCTAGACAGCATCTTAAAAAGCAGAGACATCACCTTGCCAACAAAGGTCCATATAGTTAAAGCCATGGTTTTCCCAGTAGTGATGTATGGAAGTGATAGCTGGACCATCAAGAAGGCTGATCGCCGAAGAATTGATGCTTTTGAATTCTGGTGCTGGAGGAGACTCTTGAGAGTCCCATGGACTGCAAGAAGATCAAACCTATCCATTCTAAAGGAAATTAGCCCTGAGTGTTCACTGGAAGGACAGATCATGAAGCTGAGGCTCCAATACTTTGGCCACCTCATGAGAAGAGAAGACTCCCTGGAAAAGACCCTGATGTTGGGAAAGATGGAGGGCACCAGGCGAAGGGGACGACAGAGGACGAGATGGTTGGACAGTGTTCTCGAAGCTACAAACATGAGTCTGACCAAACTGCGGGAGGCAGTGGAAGACAGGAGGGCCTGGCGTGCTCTGGTCCATGGGGTCACGAAGAGTCGGACATGACTAAACGACTAAACAACAAATGTACAAGTAAGGTAATAGGCATTCATTCCCATTCTTTGCTTTTACATCTAAAGCTTTATAGACAATTTTATAATCGCTCTACCAATTATGTATTCAGTGGCCAAGGGGTCAATTCACTGTGTGAGTGGGCATGAGGGCTTCTTTCTGATGACGGGCTTGTCTTTCCTCGCAATAGAAGCTAAATCTCAACAGTTCAGGAGAGCTGATCTGAATATCTCTGCTGTTTCCCTAGGGTGGCTCTAAGAGTTTTCAGCTAGAGGAGGGGCTTTCAGCTGGTGCAGACTCAGGTCAGGTTCCCACTGCGCTACAATTCTTCAGCATCGTAGGATAGCTTACCAATTTCTTTTTGCAGTTCATCATTTTTATTGGCAAAATACCGCATTTCCTCTGATATGTTTTGAGCTGCAGCAAGTATTTCTAAGTCTAAAAGATTTGAAACAGTTTAAGGCAGGATTATCTGAAATAGCAATCTGCAAATATCAGGAAACCATTTCCAAACACTTAAAAACACTCAAGTCTGAAACAAGAAGCAGAGCTCCAGGATGGGGTTCTTGTGAATATGAGGGCAGACTTGATTCTCTGTGGCTGAGATCACCAATGAAAAGCCTCAGAAGAATCCTGCAGCTTGATCAGACCAAAGACCCATGCAACCCCCTATTCCTATCCTATTCCCACGTGCTCTACGTGGGGCTACCTTTGAAGGTGACCCGGAAACTGCAATTAATCCAGAATGCAGCAGCTAGACTGGTGACTGGGAGTGGCCACTGGGACCACATAACATCAGTTCTGAGAGATCTGCATTGGCTCCCAGTACGTTTCCGAGCACAATTCAAAGTGTTGGTGCTGACCTCTAAAGCCCTAAACGGCCTCGGTCCTGTATACCTGAAGGAGCGTCTCCACCCCCATCGTTCTACCCAGACACTGAGGTCCAGCACCGAGGGCCTTCTGGTGGTTCCCTCCCTGCGAGAAGTGAGGTTACAGGGAACCAGGCAGAGGGCCTTCTCGGTAGTGGCGCCCATCCTGTGAAAAACCCTCCCTTCAGATGTGAAGGAAATAAGCATCTATCCTATCTTTAAAAGACATCTGAAGGCAGCCCTGTTCAGGGAAGTTTTTAATATTTAATGCTGTACTGTTTCTAACACCTGATTGGGAGCCGCCCAGAGTGGCTGGGGAAACTCAGCCAGATGGGCGGGGTATAAATAATAAATTACTATATTATTATTATTATTTTAAAAGTGGCTCATGAAGTATCTCTAATGTTCCCCTCCTATGTCCTCCTTTTCTGCTGGGAATCACAGGGTCACAAACCAATTCCTGCCTTGAGTCCCACAGGAAAGCCAAATATACAAAGAATACTTCGCAGTTTCAATTATGCTTTGTGAGATCTAAGAAAATAGAGGCACCGAAACTCTTTTTCTGCTGAATTCTGGGTTGCATTCCACATAATTCTAAGGAGGACATTGTGTCAACGCAAGGATTTTTCCTTGTGCAATGCAATCTTCAGCCCCCTTCCCTCCAATTTGTTCTGAAGTCCCGTTCACCCCAGGAGAGCAGCTTTGGTGATGGCATGAAGGAGAAGTGGGGGGAACGTTCCCTTCTGCTAGTGCTAAAATCTTGCACTAGCACAAACATTGTGAATTACAGTTTGATGGGGGAGGACAGCATTTCTAGTGGGGAGATGTGAAAATCACAACCATCTGCTTTTCTTCCTGCTGAGCAATGAAAAAGTGCTAAACTCTGTGGGGTGATGAGTTTCATTGAATATATGTTTTGCTCACACAATTTGAATCCCAAAGTGAACTACATGAATTGAACTCTGTTTAATTTAAACATGTTACAGCAAAAGTGGGGGTGTTCATATAAAATGCTTACCCTCCTTGTCTATATAGACTGGATCAATCCCAACCAGAACAGTTCGAATCATATCCACTGCCATTTGAAACTCCTGCCTTTTTTGCAGTTCCTTCTGATCTAAGAAGGAAGTAGGTAGAAAAGAAATGAAGAAATTGTGTTCTAGCACGCTAGTCTGATAAACTGGGGAAGGGGATACTTGGTTTCAAACTGCTATTAATATTGAATTTAAATTGCTGACTTGTACAACAAACGTGCCCCGGGACCTTATGGAGAAGGACAAATAAAAAAATCAAATCAATAAAAACATGAAAATGAGTTCAATTAATATTTTCTGCTCTCAGCCCTTAGACTGAGGGTTCCCATGCCTTGATTTAAGCTGCCCTGGTGGTCGGAAGTCCTGTTTCCATTTGGCCTGCTACTTCTGTCACCAGATGGTTGGCCTTCCTTAGGGAGCTTTAGATTTTGGGGTGTCTAGATACACCTGCCCTCTTTGTCCTACAGACTTGCATTTGCCAGGCTGCCTCATGCTTAAAATATGCAAATTCTTGGTCATTTGGTTCCCTCCCCCTGAGCTTTGCTTACTTTGGAGTCCCCTTTAAAAATGAATTATCTAGGCAAGTAGGCCATGTGTTCATCTATCCAGTGCTATGTTACTAGAAAAAGAGACACCGGAACACACCATGAATGCCTCCCTTGTTCTCTTAGAATGGCAGGGGCACCCACCTGAGAGGGGCCAGAACTGAGTCCTGATTAATTCTAGCTGAAAAAAGCCCTGCATATATCTCGATATTTAGGTAGGCTCTGGACCCACCCACATTGGCCATGGCCTTAGCCTCCCCAGCCTGTTTCCCCCAAGCACTTTCCTTCATGGGACTGGAGCTCTAGCAGAGGGCATGTAATGATCAGGTGGGATTGCTATGAGGAATTATAAAAAATATGGAGCAAGCCATTTGTCTCAGCAATGAAAGCATTGCGTTGGCTGGGTTTGAGCCATTTTGATATGATTTCTGATCTGTGTCTCTGATATTTCTCTGCCTGACAGGCACGTATCAGCATTCTAAACACAGGCCAGTTGTTCATCAGGCATCCTGGGTCATGAAGCTAGAAGGTAGCTTTGATGTAGTTTGTTAATCTTTCACAAGGAGATGGTAAATACTACCTATCCTTCCTCTCCTGTTTACTCCTGTTTATGACCTCTGGGGTTTCCTAAAAGCATTCCTCGTTGCTTCCTCTTTTATTTACTCTGGACTACTATGCATGCTCAAATTAGCTCTTTGTAGTTTTAACTTTTAACTTTGTCCCCACGTGGGGTTTTTGAAATGCTCAGAGGAAATCTGATTGGTTCTTACGAACACTGTGTAAAAAGTTCTTTTGTGAATAAAACGACCTGGGCCAAGGGGTGGAGAGAATTATTATTATTATACACACTCCTCCCAGAGTCTTGCTGGTCAAGCCTCGTGTGCATTTTATTAATCAGAGTCCAATTCTTCCTTGCTTTGGGAACTCTACAGGGCAGGGTGGCGAGATCAGGAAGGAGAGAATTGCAAACTGGAAAAGGAAATTGTCCAGGGTGTCCCAGGGACTTGTGTTAGCCTATGCCTCTCTTCCAAGTGCTGGAACTCACTTTTTCAGGGAGAAGAAAACATTGTCATTGCTCTCAATGGGTGACAGCTGTAACTCACCCCTGGAAATCAAAGAGAGATGAAAGGGGTAAAGGGAAGGTGGATCCTGCCATCTTTTTTTGCAAATGCTATTGGCATTGAAGCAAAGCCCACAACAGTAGTATCAACGTACACCAATTATGTACTTACATAGCGTGTAAATCAGCAGTGTCATGACAGTAAAGATGAAAATCTCAAGTACGATCAATCTTTCACCCGTTGGAGATTTGAAGAAAGTAACCAACTCGTGAAAAGCTGATGCTTGAAGAAAGAAAATTCTGCTTTAGCCATCAATAGTCAACATACCATTCCCACCCCAGGGAAAAGGGTTTCCATGTGCTGTGGCAGCCATCAGCCAGAGACACTCAACTGTTCAAGGAGTGGGCACTTGGGAGAATAAGCAGGTGGAGGAAGCAAGCCGAGATGCCTTGCTGCTTGAGAAAACTTTTCTGACCAATGTCTGGATCAGAAGACAGTAGCCTTTGATACTACTTTCTGCCCCACAGGCAAATGACAAGATGCTCCCTCCATTCACACAATTCCACATACACAAGCTGAGCTGGGCTGGTCATTGGCTCCTATTTCTATGCTGCTGATGGGGCAGCAGACTAGCTGAGGAGGTGCAGTGCAGTTTGTGTGGTCTACACCAGGGGTCAGCAAACTATGGTCTGCGGGCCGAGTCAGGCCTGACAGGGTTGTAAATCCTGGCCGCAAGGCCATTTAAGGACCCTCCGAGAGTCTGAGGGTGAAACGCAGTGCCGGGATGAGGGCTGAGGGCTGACCCCAGCATTGTGTTTCATTGGTAGAGCCAACGCAGTGACAGGGTCATCCCTCACCCCAGCGCTGTGTTTCATTGGTAGAGCTGATGCCTCAGCAGCTCTACCAATGAAACGCAGCGCCAAGATAATCCCTGCCGGTGGGAGGGCTGCGAACGGTGGGAGGGCCTCCAGAGACCTTCCCGCAGTCCAGAGCTCGCCCTGCTGCCGCCACAGTGCTGATTTGGCCTCCACTGCCAGCAGGAGGGTCCCCATCCCACCCCCGAAGCGCGGAAGAGGTGCCGACAGCAGGAGGCCCAGCAGGCCGCAACGCAGCACCAAACCATAGCTGTCAACTTTCCCCTTTTTTAAAGGGAAATTCCCTTATTCCGAATAGGATTCCTCGCAAGAAAAGGGAAAAGTTGATAGCTATGCCCCAAACCCAGGTGAGGACCCCGCATCCAAACAATGACTATCATCAGTGCAGGTAAGAAAAAAAAATTAATTTTAATTTTTTATCATCTGCAATACTGCCTTATTTATTTTACAGTACAGTACATTGTTTATTCCTTTCATTTTATGGCTCAATGGTCTCGTTAGATAGGAAAATTCATGTTAAATTGCAAAAACATGTTAAATTGTTTTAGGGTTTGTTTTTAAAAGTCTGGAACGGATTAATTCTATGCAGTGTGCATCGGAATTCGTTCACTATTATTTTTAAAAATATTCGTTCATTTTTTAAAAAAATAATAATTCAAGACCCCCCACAAGGTCTGAGGGACAGTGGACCGGCCCCCTGCCAAAAAAGTTTGCTGCCCCCTGGTCTACACATCTCTACCCACCCCAGCACCTACTACTTGAGGCAACTGCCTCATTCTGCCTAATTGTACAGCCATTCCTGACTGAACACACTAAAGGAACACAACAGCCAGCAGCAAAGAGTGGGCTCACCCCTGGGGTTTCTATGGGGCTTAGTGGACCTCTGGCACCCAAAGAGCTGTGTGGGCTTTTCTCTGCACTCCTCCCTGGCACAACATGACCGGTTCCACTCCCTGCCCGTCTCTCCATCAACTTCCCTTTCCCGTGCATTCCTCTACTTTATGAGAAACCTCAACCCATATGACTGTGCTGTATACAGATCACCAGTTTCCTTTTCTTTTCTTTTACGCTTTCTGGACACTGCATGTCTTCTGAATGCTGCACGCTTTGCGAGCGCTGGCTTCCCCATCCTCTCAGTTTTGTCTGTGGAATAACAAACTAGAATAAGACAACAACAAATGTAGAATAACACTATGCACACATTAGGTACAGAGTGGCGTCTATCAGTATGAGACCATCAGTCAAGAAGTTGTTGAGTCCAATATAACTGAAACATCTTTCTTTTTCTTCTGCTGGATCAGTCTCAGTTTTAAACTAAAAGAGATGTTCTATATGGATTCCAAGGCATTTTTGAAAATTGTTTCAGGTAATATAGCACATTCATATTTTGCATCCTATCCCTCTCTAAACTCCCAGACATCTAGTTTACAGAACTCCAGTAAGATGTTCACCATTTGACAGATTGTGTGGGATCTATGAGGTCTTCAGATGTTCCTGGGTGCCAATGTCCTCCATCACAGGCATCATGGTCAATAGTTAAGGGCGATGGGCATTGTAGACCAATAACATCTGGAGGGTTCCCCACCCTTGATGGAAGGTATATACATTTAATTATAGAACTACCTCCTGATCATCAGAAAAGATGGAGTACAAGATCCAGTCTCAGAGAGATGCATATAAATCCAATTGAATCTAGCAAGATTTTGGAGCTGGAACTGGAAAAGCAGCAGAGGGGAAGCTGTTACACAGGCTCTCCGGGTGTGGCATTTTGTTTTCTGTTTGCAAAGACCCAACCTGACAGCTGATGCTGTGGCTTAAAGAAAGAACAAAGAGGGCTCTTGTCTAATTCCTTTTTTAAGCCATCTCCACTCCTCCACCTGCAGCTGCTGGGTGACCTTGGACTAGTCACACTTCTCTGAAGTCTCTCAGCCCCACTCACCTCACAGAGTGTTTGCTATGGGGGAGGAAGGGAAAGGAGATTGTGAGCCGCTTGGAGACTCCTTGGGGTAGTGATAAAGCGGGATATCAAATCCAAACTCCTCTTCTCTTCTTCTTCTTCATCTGAGCTAGCAAATGGGATTGCCAAAGACTTGTATTTTCTGATCATGATTTGGATTGACAAACTGGGCCCATGAATCAGAGCAGGGCACCTGTATTGCCAGGGAATAAAAAAGAATGTGGTCTCCTGGTTTCCGCTGTAGCTGCAGCTTTAATATAAGGAACGTGGCTGTTTGAGAAGTGAAAGGATGGGAGCGTAAATTCCGCTCACACCCCCTCCAGGAGTTGGGCGGGGTTTGTGACACCTCATGGGTCTTACCTGGCCCGGTGCCACCCACCTTGTGCAGGTTGGCCGTTGCCCACCCCCATCTCGGCAGGACAACGGGCTTTGTTTTCTTCCTACTGGATGCATCGCTGGATTTCGGTCTTGGTGAGGTAAGTGTTCCTCACCTTCATGGCTTCCCCTCGGGGCCAGGCAGGGGACTGGGGCCACGGTGGGGCTGGCTTAGGCCTTTCCGTGGCTGGCACCTCCTTCCTGGCATTGGGGCTGGTTTGGGGCCACGCGGGTGGCACCGCCTGAGGCCTGCTGGGCCTCCCATGGTCAGCACCTCTTCCACGGCTTTGGGGGTGGGATGAGGGCCACACAGGATGGGAACATAATTACATCAAAGGATGGGAATGTAATTATATCATGAATTACATCTGTTGCCAGCGTGGTGTGAGACCTAAGCTATGGACTATATAAGGGCCAGCAACTGAAGGAGACAGGGAGATCTTGATACATTGTTCTATGTTCCATTCCAGAATAATAATAAATAATAATAAATTTTTATTTGTACCCTCCCCTCCCCAGGTGGAGCTGGGCTCAGAGCAGCTAACATCATATAAACAATACAATATGCATAAAACAAGCAATCAATTAAAATGCATCCAAAAATTAATTCAAATAAATTAAAATTAAAACTGGACAAATGATGATCCTCAAGTTAAAATTGAAAGCAGTTAATACACGCCAGGACCAACTGTTTCGACTGATATTATAAGGACCTGTGAGCGGGCTGGGAAGCCTCCTTCGTGCTTGTTCTTCTACAAAGAGAAAATGAGTCAGACAGAACCCCGACCAAAGGCCTGGTGGAACAGCTCCATCTTGCAAGCCCTGCGGAAGGATGTCATATCTTGCAGGGCCCTGGTCTCTTGTGAGAGAGCATTCCACCAGGCTGGGGCCATGGCTGAAAAGGCCCTGGCTCTAGTCGAGGCCAATCTGATCTCCCTGGAGCCTGGGATCTTCAGGGCCCGGAATGTGAAGAGAACGACCGTCAGCCAGTCTGAAGTGTCCCAGATAAGTCTTTCAAATCTCCATCAGCTGGAGAGACATGTAGAACTGTACCTATTCTTTCTGTATTACAATTATTGCTGCCTAAGATTTTTTGCTTATTGGTTATATTGCAACTTTGTAGTTTATTCCCATTGCTGTTGGCTTTATATTAGACTCCATTCTATGTTGCTGATCAATTTCTTTGCTAATGTTTACCAATTAATAAACGTTTGTCTCCACCTAAGAGTCTGTCCAGTGGAATCTGAAGAACCTCTTGCTTGTCTGGTGGTTGCCATTGGCCAAACAGCCATTAGGGGGCACTGGCAAGAGAGCACCTGTAGAAAGCCCTAGAATGTACCACTACTCAGTTTCATTGGATGAACCTGAGTTCTAGTATTTCAAAGAGAAAAACGATCTGTAGTTTCATAAACCTCCTGACCATTTCCCCTCTTTGTGACCTTTTGGCCCTGGAATAAGACCCTGCAAATAACACAGCTCATAATGAATGTTTTCCACCCTCCAGACCTTTTTCTGTTTGGATACCTTGGTGTTGTCATATACCAATCTCTTCTCCAATTACTTCTTAAGGGTGCTTCATCCTCCCACTGGCTAAGAACCACCTCTCTTGTGAAGTCAGGGATTCCAGAACTCCTCCCATTTAGCATTCTACATAAAGCATAAACCCAGCAAAATGTTTCTTTCAGATCTGGTATGCTACTTATTTTTCCAATCCTTGCTGCAGTTGTTGCATACATAAACAATTTTATAATTATTTATTATCATTGAAAGATTAAAAGTTTATTATTGTTACAGTCAGACATTGGTTGTTGAACGTAATCCATTCCAGGAGCCCGTTCAGTTTCCGAAATCTTCCACAACCGAGGCACGGCTTCTGATTGGCTGCAGGAGCTTCCTGCACTGAAGCGGAAGCCACACCAGACGTTTGGCTTCTGATAAACGTTCAAAAACCAGAAGACTTAATTCTGGGTTTTCGGCATTTGGGAGCCAAAACGTTCCAAAATGGAGGCATTTGGCAACCGAGGTTTGACTGCATAAGATCTCTACAACCAAAATACAGTGGTGCCCCGCAAGACGAATGCCTCGCAAGACGGAAAACCCGCTAGACGAAAGGGTTTTCCGTTTTGGAGGTGCTTCGCAAAACGAATTTCCTATGGGCTTGCTTCGCAAGACGAAAATGTCTTGCGAGTTCCTGAGGGGGTTTTTCCTCCCCCCCCTTTTTCCCAAGCCGCTAAGCCGCTTATCAGCTGATCCGCTAAGCCCACTAAGCCGCTAATAGCGCTAATCCGCTAAACCGCTAACGGGCTTGCTTTGCAAGACGAAAAAACCGCAAGACGAAGAGACTCGCGGAACGGATTCTTTTCGTCCTGCGAGGCACCACTGTAAACAATGGTGGTGAAAGTAGGCAACCTTATATTGCACCTTTCATAACTACATTTCTCTGAAAGTATCCCATTTACTATTAAATTTGCATATTGTTCTGAACATGTGGCAGTAATAGCTCTTCCGGTTTTCTCCAGATTCCATGATTTCAATTAATTTTCTTAAGAGTACCCAAGATATATTATCAAAAGCCTTTTCTGCGTCACAAAAGGACATTGCAAATGGTTTGTTGATATTTCTTTCATAAAATTCCAAGGCATTTATTACTATTCTCACCCGGCCCTGGCCCCAGCCTTGTGGAACACTTTGCGTGGACAGGCAGAGTCCCCAGATCCCGCGCGGTCCCCCCGTCATGTGGAATAACGACTCATGACAACGTGCTATGGGATTAAATTGGCCACAACTTTATTAAATTTCAAATGTGGGTAGACCTTGGCTCAGGCATTGGGCGTTCTCCCTCCCCAGTCCCCAGCCGGGGACCTAGGGAGCATCAGGGTTATCCAGTGTGTGTGGGGGGGGGATGGGCCGGCTCTGGAGAACATATGTTCAAGCAGAGATAGCCGCCCCTGTTACGCCGCCGCCGCAGGGGAGAGCAATGACGACCTTTCGGCGTACGGTCAAAGCCTCCCTTCAGAAACCCCTTTAACGGGGAACCCTGGTATCACCACCACAAAGAGGAAGATAGACTAAAGGATTCTGCCCAAGGCCTGATACCGCCAAAGTTGTGACGTTTTGCTACGGGAAAGGCGAAACCTGCCAATGCAGGGAATTCCTTTCCGGCCCTTTAACAGCGACCTTAACGTAGCAGCGCCCGCATACCTGTGAAGAAAAGTTAACCTGCAAAACCTGTGAAGAAAAGTTAACCTGCAAATAAGACATTAACTGAGGGTGGGTAGGGTGGGGAAGCTCTGGAGCCAAGTGAGGATTCCCAGGTAAGATCCTCCCTCTATTGTGTGGGCAGGTAATCCCTCCCCTACCTGGCCTGGTCTCCTTGGCAACGCTTCCCCCAGGTGGGATTGGACAACTGACTGAGGTAGGCGGAGACCTCCAGGTATCCCACCTGAGGGAAGGCAAACCAAGCCTATACTGTTTGGGAAATACATATGATTACTCATACGCATTGGATATTTAATTTGGATTGTGAATGTATTCAAGTTTTGAAAAGATGGCCCTGTTAGAATTTATTCAAGGTTATATGCAACATCAGTAAATAGGTTTATTAGAAAACGGTTATCCATTTGTAGAACTTGTGTGTATGTGTGTGGTCCCAATTTCCACAGTTGTTTCCACTGTTTCTCATTATAACTTTCTCGATCTCCCATTCAGGAGCACCAGTTAAGACTTTGGTGAGATATGAAAAACATGTTTTTTTCTTGCAATGTGACAAAAAACTTAAAAGCCAGAGCAGATTATGGTGTGTCCTGTAATTACAAAATTAATCATAATTATGTCTACTTCTTCTCATTGCTGCTAGGGAATTCCAATGGACAAATGCAGAATTATGAACCAAGACTGCTGGGTGTTATTAATATCCCCAATGTCATTCTCAATCTGTGTTACTGAGAGCCAGGGCTCTGTCGGTCTGATTACTGATTTTTTTAAATTGTGCAATTCCAGTTTTGCGTCAGCTACATGTGTGGCTATTCTGCTCAGATGTTGTTATTCAGGGACATTCAAATGACAGTATGGGAAGAAATTAAGATTTTCCCCTTCAAGATAGCACTGTTTGCAAACTTGTTACTATTGCTGCTGCTACCAGTTGCGTGCAAGGTTCTTATTTCTCAATGTTCCATCTGGGATCCTCTTCCTATTCTTCACCAATATTATCAGTCTGGAGACCTCATCATTGCTGGCATTATGTCACAGCTTTATATAACTTCAAGTATAACAACCTTCGAGAAGCCCCCATCTGCTGAACTCTTTGATGACAATGTGTAAGGAGATGTACTTTGCTAACCATATTATACACCTGTAATCAAAATATTCCACATTTGTGATATTGTTGTTGTTGTTTAGTCGTTTAGTCGTGTCCGACTCTTCGTGACCCCATGGACCAGAGCATGCCAGACACTCCTGTCTTCCACTGCCTCCCACAGTTTGGTCAAACTCATGCTGGTAGCTTCGAGAAAACCATTCAACCATCTCGTCCTCTGTCCTCCCCTTTTCCTTGTGCCCTCCATCTTTCCCAACATCAGGGTCTTTTCCAGGGAGTCTTCTCTTCTCGGGAGGTGGCCAAAGTCTTGGAGCCTCAGCTTCAGGATCTGTCCTTCCAGTGAGCACTCAGGGCTGATTTCCTTCAGAATGGATAGGTTTGATCTTCTTGCAGTCCATGGGACTCTCAAGAGTCTCCTCCAGCACCATAATTCAAAAGCATCCATTCTTCGGCGATCAGCCTTCAGCGATCAGCCTTCTTTATGGTCCAGCTCTCACTTCCATACATCACTACTGGAAAAACCATAGCTTTTACTATATCATAGAAACTATATCATACAAACTATCTAAAGCTATTTTTTGAATGTTAAAATATTCTGTGCTTTGTTTTATGGACAGTCGCTTCCCATTTCTCTGTGCAATGACAATTGTCATCCAGGTTATAGAAAGGGCAAGAAGGAGGGGAAGCCATATATTTCATCATTATTCACCATTTCCCCCCTTTTAACAGTTCCAGTGTTTATGGTTGAGGGTAGATTTGCTCAATCAATATTGGTAACTATAAACAGAGTCTGTTCGTAGTGAGCAAACACACAATTGTGAGTAGCTCTTTTAAACTATTTCTGTTTTGAAATCAACAGCTTTTAGTACTTTCCACATTATTTGTGTAGAGACTCCACCACCCCCCCGCCATATTTCCCATTTTCAGTTTTGGGTTCATTTATTGTTTATCAGTCACCTATGCTGAAAGGAATGGTTCTTTTTTTCAATAAATATCATTAAAAATAATAATAATAATACAGGTCTACCTGCTGGACATGCCTGCCATAAGCTAACTCACGAATTTCTTACCTGGCACATTTCTGCAACTTGTGTTTTCCTTTCAGATTCCAAATATTATCTATATACTTTAACTTCTACCGCTCACTAACACACTTTGGTACCCCAGATCTATGTCAATACACTGGGCACACCCTGTCTTGCAATGCTGAAGGGGGCTCTCTTCCCATGATATTGTGACTGAAATCGATTGATTGAGTTCCAAATCACAAAGAGGAAGCTACAAGCAAATGCACGCAGATTTCTTTATTTTATATATCCAAGGAGACAAGGTGGCAAAAACTCATGTAAGTGAAAAAATATATACTTCAAGCTAAAATAAAACACAGTTTAAAAATATATATCAAAAACAATAGAACACCTAAAACAAATTTAGAACTGGGTGTAACCAAATTGATTGTAGAATCCCCACTCATTCATTCCCCATTCAACATGGAAAAAACCATAAACTTGGGTATTTTGAGCTGGCAGTTGTGACCACATACCTCCTAAATGGGCTCATATTTAATGATCAAGCATAATACCTAATCAGGCTTACATTCATTCTAATGATGGGAATAAATATAAAACCTGAAAAACACAGCTCCTCATGCAGCTATAATTATCTATGATGGAATACTTCTTCCCAGAGCAAGAAATTGTTCATGCCTGTAATGATGACAATGATGAGATATTCTGTTCCTTAAAATGGAACAGAATGACAGCTAATTATAGCTTTAGTTGGAAAATAGGAATTAAGAATTTTAATCATTTATCCTAATTAGCTGCCCCCTAGTGTTCAGCTCAGGCCTAACCACAATGATATAGCATTTTGGTAAAAATATACAAATCAGTAACCCCGCACTGGACGCTAAGATGGAGAAGATCTCCACGGCCACCATGTATTTTCCCTTGGTGCTCTGGTAGGTGGGAACAAAGGACAACCAAACACTGCAAAACAGAAGCATACTGAAGGTGATAAACTTGGTTTCATTAAAACTGTCAGGTAATTTCCTGGCTAGGAAAGCCACAGTGAAGCTGACAATGGCTAGGAAGCCCATAAAGCCCAAAACACAGTAGAACATAATAACTGAACCTTCATTACATTCCAGAACAATTTCTTCAGTCACTGAGTGCATGTCAAAATACAAGAATGGGGGAGAGGTTGCCAGCCACACAGCACAAATAGTGGTTTGAATAAGGGAGCACGATAGAACAATGGAAAAGGCCAGTCTTTTCCCGATCCATT